TCACTGTACGAAACTAAAATTTAATGTAATGTATTGTTTGTTAATATCATTGATGACGTCATTTCGAGTGATGTTGTTTATGTTGCTTATGCAGATGTTTGTTGTTTATGCAAATAATTTTATTTTGATGTTATTTATGTTGATGTGTTGATGTTTCTTATATTGATGTGATTGCCTATGTAAATGTTGTTTATGTTGATATTGTCTATGATAATGTTTTGTCTATGTTGATTTTGTGTCTATGTTGATGCTGTGTCTATGTTGATGTTGTGTCTATGTTGATATTGTGTCTATGTTGATATTGTGTCTATGTTGATGATGTGTTTATGTTGATGCTGTTTCTATGTTGATGTTGTGTATATGCTGAAGTTGTTTCTATGTTGATGTTGTGTCTATGTTGATGTTGTGTTGTCTATGTTGAAGTTGTGTCTATGTTGATGTTATATCGCTAGCGTTCTTATATAAGCATTGCATGTCGTGTTATCTGTCTGATATTTTTTTGTAATCTTTCATGTCTTAGACCTAGTCCCAGTTTTTATAATTGCGAGATTACAATGATGTAATAATTAATATTTATATATTAATTATTCATAATATAATTAACTATTATTATTTAATTATATAATTATTTAATTATGTTATATTTTTAAATTGTACTGAAAGCAAAACACAAACCACCTCACCATCATCACCATCATCATCGGACGCATTTTATTTATCCGAAGCATTCCGTTTAAAGTCCTATAGAGAATTTTACACTTGTGAATAAAACATGAAGCCGTGGTTTCTCTCGCCACACACACACACTCACACACACACACGCACACACACACTCACACATACATACTTCGTACAAAAGTATATAAAAATATATGCTTTGTAATTGTAAATATACAAGCATTTTATTTGTATGTTTCGTTGTTTGTATTTGTATGTATATCGTTTGTATAGTTATATTTAGGGACTACTTATGTGTGTGTGAATGAGTGAGTGTGTGTGTGTGTGTGTGTGTGTGTGGTGTGTGTGTGTGTACATATTCAGTGTTTTGTTATCAGTAAGGCACAACAAAATCATCTAAAATATTAATCAACGGTAATTAATTCAAAACAAAAACAAGATAAAACTGAAAAAGATGAAAAACAAAAAAAAAAAGATGAAACCAACCGGAAACCTGATCGATCAAGTGACCTTGTTGGCCGGAAGCGGGTGGTAAATAGTTGATGACGTCATCAGGGTGGGGGGTGAAGTAGTCGTGGTAGGCAGGGTAAGCAGGGTAGAAATCGCCACTTTCTACATGTGGGTGTGTGTGGTTTTTCAAATTTAATTAATTAAATGATTATTTATTTAATAATTTAGCTAATTTATAAATTTGATCATTAATAGTATTAGTAATAATAAAAATATAATTTGGGGTAAAATTATTATAATGCATACCACGATTCATTCTTTCACTTAAAATATGAAAGTATTGTATTTATAAAATCACTCGATATTCTGTTAGTATTAGTAAGAAAAACCTCAATAACATTAGCTACCAATAATGATGATATTAGTGATGACGATGATGATGAAGAAGAAGATGATAATAATGATCGTGTGGCGATAGTAATGATGATGATTATGATGATGATGATGATGAAGAAGAAGATGATAATGATGAGGTGGCGATAGTAATGATGGTGGTTATGATGACGACGATGATGATGATGATGAGGATAATGATGTTGTTGATGATGATGATGATGCAATGCCTGTTTGCGTACATGAGGTGCTTGCTGGTGAAATTAATTAATACACTGAGGAATCAAACATCGTCTCGATGCTTGGTAGGTTGTTGATGTGGTTGTTGTTGAAAGGTGTTACTTAAATCTTTGGTTATTGTAGTAGTAGTAGTAGTAGTAGTAGAAGGAGTAGGGTGGTGGTGGTGGTA